CACCTTCATCTGTACCATTCCATCTCTTCCATCTCTTCCATCTCTTCCCCATCTCTTCCATCTCTTCCATCTCTTCCATCTCTTCCATCTCTTGCTCTACGTCTCTTCATCTCTCCATGCCTCCATCTCTTCCTCTGGCTATGAATGAAGGTCAGAAGCCTCCATCCGCAATCCCCTCTGCACCTCCATCTGTATCATTCGATATGTACCCTTCCCTTCCATCTCTAGCTCTGCATTTTCTATTCTTTTCTCCAGATGTACCTCCTCTTTTTGTTTGTACAGGTCTTAAAAATATACCAATAAATTCAATAATTAAATTCTGTGTTAATTGGTGGAATACTTTACTCGCATCATCCTTCATCTCTACGTCTACGCCTCCCCATCTCTACGTCTCCCCATCTCTCCATCTCTACGCCATGGGTTAATGAAGGGAATTACTTGGCCTCCATCTTCACGTCAATCTCTACCATTCCATCTTTACAAACTCCTTCCATTCCTCACCCACCATCGCTTCGTCGCTTCATTTCTCTCTCTCTGGCGTTCAATGAAGGTGAGAGTGGCCTCCATATCCACTCACTTCATCTCTACCATTCCATCTGGGAGTAGTTATGAAAAGAGATCACTGCAACAAGTGTTTCCAAAAAATTGTACATGCTACGTCCTCAGACTGGGGGTGTGGTTTGACAAAAAAACGTTCTTGCATTCTATGCTTCGCGCCTCTGAAATATCTATTCCTGTCTGGCTGGGCGGGTGGGTGTGTGTTTTTTTAGATAGTTTTTTTTTTCACCACAGAGTGTATTATTTTTTACCACAGAATGTATTTTTTTCTTACCACAGAGTGTATTTTTTTTTACCACAGTGTTTTTTTTTTTACCACAGAGTGTATTTTTTTTTTACCACCGTGTTTTTTCTTTTTTTACCACAGAGTGTAATCATTCCATCTCTTCCTCAGACTCTATTTCTGTCCATCTAGTTTTTTTTGCACACAGTGTGGAACCATTCCATCTCTTCCTCAGACTCTACTTCTGTCCATCTAGTTTTTGGCCACAGAGTGAAGCATCCCCCTTCTCTTCCTCAGACTCTACTTCTGTCCATCTCTGCCACCGTTCGAGACGCGATTCCATCTTGTATCTTCAGACATCTCGAGATCTCCGTCTCGAACGGGATCGCGATCACCATCTCTACCTCATGATCGGTTTGCTTCCACCTCGAGATCTCCGTCTCGAACGGGATCGCGATCACCATCTCTCACTCTACGTCCATCTCTACCTCCATCATTGCCTCTTGCTTCACCATGATCTCCATCTCGACGTCTCTACCTACGTCTCTATCTCCGTCTGTACCTCCATCATTTCTTCTTCTCCATGGCTATCCCTATCCCGAGTTCCTTCTCTTCATCCATCTCTTCCTCCATCTCTACCTCCGTGTCCAAATCCATCGCCATCGTCATTTCTACTTCCTTCTCTGCTTCCATATACCCACTTATCCATCTCGACCCTCTTATCTATCTACACCCCTTTATCCATCTATACTCCCTTAACTATCTCCGTCTCCGACGCCATGGCCACCTCCATCTCTACCTCCGTCTCCGACTCCATCGCCATCGTCATTTCTACTTCCTTCTCTGCTTCCATCTATACCCTCTTATCCATCGCGACCCCCTTATCTATCTACACCCCCTTATCCATCTATAACCCCTTAACTATCTCCGTCTCCGACGCCATCGCTACCTCCATCTCTACCTCCATCTCTACCTCCGTCTCCGACTCCATCGCCATCGCGACTTCTTCTTCCTTCTCTGCTTCCATCATCTATACTTACATCGAGATCTCCATCGCTGCCTTTTATCTACAGCCGTCTGGGCCCATCTGCATCTTCATCTCTACAACGGTCTCTACCT